GTTATCAACAGAACATGTTTAGTTTTATAGGTTAAGATTTGTTATTGTGCACGTGCTTTATTGTTTTTATCAACAGAGTTAGAATTTAAGAGCTTGCCTTTATAATATTAATAACGTTTTGTTAAATGTAACTTGTAAAAGAGTTCATGTTATGTTGTATTAGTGTTTATTGTTAAAATGGACGTGAGAATAAAATTTAGAGGAGGGGGATCCGTAACGGCCTGTGCTCCAGTATTTTCTGAAGGAGAAGAGTAAGTGACTGATAAATATTTTGGTAATTACATCATAACAAAGGGCTTTGCAGGTTTGTGTATATTCCATGGAAGAACATTGTACTTTGCTATTATACAAAAACTGGCAAGCGAGCTCGGGAACTTAGAGGTTTGAAAGATAATGTGGTGGGCTTTAATATTGTTAATTATAAAGATAAGGAATGCTTATTTGCCTGCTCGATTACTGGCGAAATGATCTCTTGGAGCATTGATGATTCTTGTGCAACAATTAAAAGTGTAAGAACATACCTACATTTAATAGTATGAATTAATATATTAATTTATACTTATACTTTTTTATTTCAGAAAATTCCCTCGCAAAATATTCTCATAAGGAAATTTCTCACAACTTCATGGAGTAAAAATGACGAGGAACAAAGACAGGTTCATTTACTGTCATGGACCAAGAACATAACGCAAGATAAGAGTTTGTCTTTGGGACTTTTCGACATGAGTGTTGGGAAATTAAGAGAAGTAAAGATGACATTAGAAGACACTGACCATGATATTGCTACAGGTGGTTCTGATAATCCATTCTTTGCTATTGTACAAGGGCAAACATTGTATTTTGCAAGATTGAAGGACGGAAAACATATTTATAAGTAAGTCAATTTAGCACATAACATTTCTTTCAATTACAAATTCATTTTTGTGGCATTTAGGCGTCGAATTCACGGTAGAAAGTTTACCTGCGTGGCCTGTCATCCTCATGATGAAAGCGTACTTACGGGCGATAATACAGGGCGTATTCTCCTATGGCATAATTTGTCTTCTACGTCACCAACACAAGCTGTTTATCATTGGCATACGTTGCCTGTAAAAACCGTGACATTTTCTCGAACAGGTAGTTATTTTTTCAGTGGCGCCGATGAGTGTGTTCTAGTCAAATGGGCCGTCGAAAATCCCGAACAGAGACAGTATTTGCCCCGTATGTCATTTACTATCGAACGGGTGACGGTGTCAAAGGATAACGTTCTTGTAGCCGTTACCACAAGAGATAATGTTGTTCACATACTGGACTTTCGGTTGGAACGTGTCAGCACAATCCAGCATTTAGTTTTAGGCAGGAATTTTCCTGCGGGAATCCATTACGATCCGAGAACTGGAGCACTGGCCATGAACGGAATCGTTGGACATTTGCAGTTCTTTTCGCCAAATGATATGTCTTTGCTGTATAATGTAAGAGATATTAGTTTTGTATTAGTGTGTATCATACTTGTAATTTTAACTGTTCAGTTAGATATTACCGGTCAAAATAAATTGACGAAGGAGAGAAATGTTGAAATCGAAAACACGGATGTAGTTAAGCTAGCAATAGACCGAAATGGCAAATGGTTGGCTACTGTAGAAAAAAGAGACTCCGCTACTCTCAAATACGAATTGAGACTTAAATTTTGGCAGTTTAACTTGAAAGATCAACAGTAAGTTGATATTTTTTACAACGAGTTTTCCTGCATTATTCTGTTTATAGGTATACATTGAACACTTGTATCGAATATCCCCACGAAAACAGTGTGGAAGACGTCTGTTTTCAACCATCATTGGACGCAAATGAATTGAGGTGCGTCACTGTAGGCGGAGACTCCAAATTTAGGGTTTGGGAAATCGTGAACGCTGACACAGTCTATCGTAAGCTACTCCCCAACAAGACATACATATTCTTTTAAAATGAAATTTATATTTGCAGAAAAGGGTGTTAGATGGTCATGTTTTGTTGCTGGTTTCTATAAGAATCTGCCGTGCAAATGCTTGGACTTTTCATCTGACGGATCTGTTTTCGCGGTATCGTTCGATTTCGCAGTCACGCTGTGGGAAACTCGCACATGCGACTTCAAGTATTCCTTGTCGTGCCCACAGTTGAGAGGTGAAAGAATTACACAAGTGAAATTCGGCTCTGCCAACAGGTGCCAGTTATTGGTGTCTGCAACAGAAGATCATGCGGTTCTGTGGAATCTCCTTACTTTGAACGCCGTTTGGATTGTCAAGGTGCACGTGTCTTTCCTTTTAAGTAGTTGTTTTTCTTCTTACATGGCAATTTTTACCGAAGATTCCAAAGGTACATAAGTGAATTAGTTATTCTCGTTTGTTTTTTAAAACTTGTTACTTTTTCAGTTATTATTTTCGATCCGAATGATCCATCCCCTGTGTATGTAAGTGAAGAATTGAGAATGTGTAACACGAAGGTCCTCACGGCTGTTTTCGCTCCTAAACCGACCATCGTGGATTTAGTCAAAAAGGGCAGTTGGTGTTCAAATGTTCGATTATATTTTATAGATTCATATCAGGTATGTAATTGATCGTTTTTAAATAACTACATTTGCATTAAATTTGTTCTATTTCGTCAGGAATTGTATTGTTTTGATTCAGCTACAGAGGACATATATGGTGAAAATACTGATATAATTGAATCAGAAAGTAAGAGTTTGTTTAGTGCCACGATTCCTAAGTTGAAATCTGGCTGTGTTGGTGTCCAAGAAAAGAAAGAGCACACGATTAAAAGATTTACCGATCTTAAAAAGATGAGAGAGGTTTTTATTTAGCAATGTAATTTTATTTTGTATTTAATCTAAGTACTGTTTTTTGGTAGTTTTTGGATGCCCCTGCTAATACGATGGCGCCCATTCGTCTCAGTTGCGAAACGATTCTCAAACTGTTAGTGGAAAGCCGTACAAACAAACGTAAGGACGGATGTCAAAAGACCCTTTGAAATAGGTCCAAATTTTTCAATAAAATCTTATGTAAGTCGTTTACGTATGGTCCGTTACTTTTTTCCTCATCAAATTCTCCTCATTTTCCTTTTTTACTATTAAAAGTAAAGTAATTATTCATAATTTTAACTAAATCGTATTTTTTATATTTTAATCTATTACTTTTTGTGATAAATAATAAACACTGTATAGCAATTTTAAAACTTAATTAATTTTATAGAAGTGTTCCGTTATCTACTTTATGAATATTAGTTCGGTTATGGCAATTTAGTATGAAATGGGAAATGGTGTATAATTTGAATTATTCTCTGCTATTATTTTATTAAAATTGGTGAATTGCCAAAAGAAAATCGAACTTTAAGTTACTTACTTAAGTCTATTTAGTTTCTTGAACATACCTGAAATATTGCTTCTATGAATTGAATTGGTATTTTGCATTTCTATGGTTTTAAACTGTCACTACTGTCGAATTAACATTAGCACGGTTAATAATACTGATTATTTTGTATAAAATTTTTCATGATTTTCTTTAGGTGGGGGTTAGTGAGCGGCTGTGAAATCTATAGGAAGCACGTGCATGCGTGAGAGGCCTCAATTATTTTCGGTACTAATTGTTTTTGAATTGAATTTTCGTAAAAGACTGATTTGTGTTGTTTTCGGGTGCTTCTTTTATCATAATACGTTAAGATGGCCTTGGACTCCAATGTTCGAAACGAAAATGTTACGGTTATAAATGAAAAAGTTGCCGATAACAATGAAATTGTAAAGACACGGAAAGAAGATAACGAAACTTCAAAAATCGGTTAGTAATTCACCCTCATTTATTCAGTAATTGTTCAGTTTCTAAAAAGGCACATTTTCTAACATTTTTTATTCGTTACGTAACCTATTTTTTCTTATAGGTTAATTTTGTGTATATATCTTTAATTAAGTAATTTAATGTTGCATATTTCTTTGATGCGTGCGTCTTTTTAAATTAAGCTGCTTATTTTGTAATTGTTTAAAGTAATTGCATTCTCTGACTAATCAAGTTCAAGTATCAAATTAAATATTACCGACGAAAATTAGTTATCTTAGGAAAGCACGGTGAATGGCACGTGATGTGATTTGTACAGGCCTAATTTTTATCAGTTCAGCTCGATTATGAAAAACGTTAATTAATAAATGAATGTATTATTTGCGTTAGTAATCACCGAGGTCAATTTTGAAATTTAAGTTGTTATTTATTTATGAAAAATAAACCGATAAATATGTTGACTATTTCAATTATTTGTTATCACTTTATAAGAATAGTCACAATACTTTTACATTCTATTCAATTATGTTAATGCATGCATTATTGTTTGTATATCTTAAATTAGTAGCTGTATAATANCTCAAGGTAGGCCTAGTGGCGTCATCTCTTGGTTAGGCCGGAAACTTATCAATCCACCCTCGTACATAACGTCTACTTCTATTTTGTTACCTTTTTTATCAACATCGATGAGTTGCCTCGATGTTTGTTCTGGCGCAGTTAATACAATGTTCACATACATGATCATTAAAAAATTACATTCATTTGTAATGTTTTTTATAAATTGTTAGTTTTGGCATTTTTTTAGAAATGTATTTAATTTCAAGGTTGCTGAATGATGATGAATATCGATTTGTACTGATCACATTACCTTCTACTTAAGTATATAGCTTTTAATTTTTGCTAATTCGTTACTTTAGTCGTTACTATTGAAACTTAAATCAATTTCCTTCAATATTGTGTATTAACATAGGTACGTTGAATTACTGTTTTTCATAAATTGTTGATAATTACGTGATAAATTTTATCCCAACGAAAGGGGAACACTATTAATGAACTTTTTATCTGCAATCTATCATTTTAATATTACGTATTTTAATCGAGTCTAGATTAGTTCTTTATAGCTAGTAATCACTTTTCTCTTTTAATTAAGTGAAGGTAATAATGTTTTTTTTTTGTTTGCAAATTGTAAAGCATCTATAAAGATAATCTGTAAAGTATTTATATGAATATTATTTTAATTTCGTTTATTTATTTTTTTATAGGGAATATTTAGACTAGCATGTGAAAACGTGCTGAAGACAATGAAGAAGGGAAAAGAAACGTTGTTAACATTGCTGGAAGCTTTCGTATACGACCCCCTGATAGACTGGACTGTTGGCGGAGAGGGTTTAGCCGGAACAGCTTTCAGAGGAGTCGCCGGGAATTCCCTAACTAAACAAAGTCGCAAAGATATGGAAAAAGAAGTAACGATTTCAATGTTTCATGTCAGATGTACTGAACTTCAAGTAGATTGGAAAGAAAACAGGTACCTACTGTTTCTCATCGTTTTTTTTTTTTTTTTTAATTTGATAGCTTTCATAAAATTTGGTTTGTCAGGGATGCCATCGTCGAGGGGATTCCGAAACTAATGGAAAAATTAAAAGCGTGGCTTTCAGTTTACGAAAAAACATCGCAAGCTGAGGACACCCTACAGGACCTCCATCAACAGATGGCTCTGGTGAAAGAGGCGGAGGCGTATGGCACTTTACATTCACTTTACAGCCTACCGTCACGTTACGAGGCCTATTGCAAAACGAAGAACGCAATAAATAACGCCAAAAAAGAACTGGAAAGCTTGATGCTAGAATGCGAAACGATTATCAACGCCTATGCGGAAGCGGTCAAGATGCTGGAGATGAATCAGTGCACGAAATGGTTCGTTCAACAAAGTTCTGCCATTGCCGAGAACGACGTATTCGAATTAGTAAGGGACTTCTTGCTGAAAGCCGGTCAAATGAACACAATACTTCAGTGTGAGCAGTCCGAGGCCAGCGTCAGCCAATTAAGGCAGAAACAGAAGATCGTGGCCCTGAAAAGTATAAACATGCTGAAGGAGTATTTCGACGTATTGTCCCATATGCCACTCTCCTACCAAGAAAATCATACGTAAGTTCTAAACATAATATTCCTTTATTCAATCATAAGTTGCTTCCTTCGTAGAATCGGTTATATTCTCCACTGGTGCAAATCCCTCCTGGAAATGAAAAGCGTTGATTTTGAGGATGTTGTATTTCAACAGTTTCGCACCTACTTTGATAATATGAAGACCAGTAGTCAGCCCGTTCAATACGTGGCCGAATTCTCTCACATGCTCCGCGTTCTTTATAACGAGTCTGCTGCTCAAGTGTCCCAAGTTTACGAAGAATATCGCAAACACCGGGTCCAAGACGCTAATAACAACGTGGAGAAGGTATACAACGAGTCAAAACTAGCTGTCGCGTCGTTTCTTAGACGAGAATCGGCCGCTTATAATGCATTTGAATTTATTATCGTCACAGAACTATTAAATCTGAACCAGAATTATTTAAACTATGAAACGGCCGCTTCAAGGGGAGCCGATTTTCTTCTGAAAATTGCCTCCAGATATGGAGACTGGTTTTTGGACGATTTGACGTGGTTTAATAACAAGGCGATGGAGTTTGTCAGTTATCTATTCGTACAGCAGAATTCTCATCTTCAAGAAGAGCCGTTTGTCCAAACCATCACTGTACTTAAAGGTACCAATTTCGTATACAAAGGTTTGCAGGAATTGTACTTCAGTTTCCATACAATCATTCTACCGGAAAGCGTAAAGAAAATACAGAAAGAGGAGCCGAGCGTAATGGGAATGATCCGGGATTTAAAAAAATTGATTATGAGTGCCGGTACCAGTCTCCAAGATCTGGTTATTCAGCTGGAGAAGTGCCTCGCGTGCACCGTAATGGAAATGGATACTACGGTACGTTACATTTACTAATGAAAGTAATTTTCCTTTTGATTTTTTATTTTACAGGCGTCTTTCGTAACAACTCATAAAATCGTGTCCGATCTAAAATTTCACTTTGCGTCTTTTCTACAACCGCAATCGGAGGAACTAAGTCATGGAATGATGCTTCTAATGGGTTTCAACGGTTTATTCGAAAAATTGTCACTCGAATTCGACACCTTAATCGGATCGATCACCTCTTTAGACATTCCACCCTGTTGGAAAAAATTAGATCAAGTACGTGATGCGAAATGTATAGCCGCTCCCATTTATAACGAACGTTGTAAAGCAATATTGGACGACATATTCCTATTGAAACGTTTACAAGCAATGTCAGACTTCTTCGACCTCTGCGTCGATGCGGCCGCTTCGTTTAAAGGACTTACTCCCCCAGTCGCGTTTGATGACGAAAAAATGGACAAACCGATTAAAAGATTCGTGGCCGACTTTATAACGCGTCAATTTTTAGGCGTCACGACCGAAAATATTGTTTATGTAATATGTTTTTTGCTGGAACATATGGGACTGAACATTACCAACGAAATCGAGCAGAAAGACGTAGGGGCCGAGAATAAGGTACCTCTGGAAGAACTCCTCAGAAAGGGCTACGGAGTATTTATGAAACAAGGACTATTTAATCAAAACGTTATCGCTCAAGCATCAAGCTTGGAAACGAACATGAAATCTTCCTGGGAAAATACCCAAAAACCTAAACAACTGGACCAGAAGTTGTCTCTTTGGCAGTCGACAGTAGAAAGGATCAAGCACCAACTTATGGCACACAGTTGGCTTCACGAAGACATCTTGGTCCACAGGTAAACCATAGAAATGTTGTTAAAATTTTATCTTGATCTCATGAACTTTTCATTCCTTATAGAACGCCTGCCAATGAATTTCAAACAACTTTACGAAGCACTTTTCTTCACGAGATGACCGAATACATGAAAGAATTAGGTACAATTCATGCTCATCTTAAAGAAAACTTGGACACTCAAAAGAACTTGATATCAAGCATTATGCAACGTTTAACTTGGGCTGCAGGTGCCAATCCCGACTTGAGCGGTGTTCTAACCGCCTTCGAAGCCTCCGTCAGTGCTCGAGAGAACGATTTCAAATTGGAAGAGACCACCACGGCCCTCATACTTAAAACCACAAATGGCGTAATTCAATACGAAATGCTTCGTCTGGAGCCGCCAGATAGCAACGTCTACTGCATGAGATTCTTAAAGGGATGTGTACAATGGAAAGAAGCCTGTCCTCTTGTAAATTCGGAAGTGGACGCGGTGTCGACAATAGAAGAGAACATAATGAAACTTTACACAAACGAAATGGCAGGCACGCCTAATTGGATTCCGTTGTTATCCGAAAAAATATCTCAAATTATAACTCAAACCCAAAAAGAATTGACGAACCTTAAGGAGGAGACGTTTTTCGCATCCCATGACGTCGTCGCGGACCTCGACCGAGTTAAAAATTCTTACATGAGACATTGCAAACTAATGGGCGAGTTTAAAAATCTAATCAAGTCTCTTACTCGTGTTGAAGAGTGTGCATCTGATGCCCAGTTGTTCATCGTTGAATATAAAAAGTACGCCGAGCATTTCGGACCTTTGCTTCATAAGTTAAAGAAGGAACTGACAAAAGAAGATGTTCAGGACGCAGTTGTGGGATTGGAGCGTATATTGAATAGGACCGAGGCGATTTACAACGGACTATTGGAGTTGGAAAAGTGCCCTGACAAAGGCGAGACATTTAGGACGTTAATGAAAACGGACGAAGAAGAAAATGGTCTGTTGTTGAAGGCTCAACAGAAAGAAAACGGATCGAGGGCGGGACATCAGCGCAATTCGTATGCCATAGGAGTCTGGAAACGGGTCAGGATGAAGCTCGAAGGAAGAGATCCGGATCCCGGCAGAAAGGTGACTGTACAAGAGCAGGTAAGTTGCTAATTTATTCTTTTTTAACTTGTCGCCGTCGCATGTCTTCACATCCACATTGCCTTTTACTCCGACGTTACAGCGTAAAGGTTTTCGTTTTTTTTCAATGACATGACTTGCAGGTGGATTATGTAATAAACGAAGCTACGAACCTCGACAACTTGGCCTTGCTGTACGAAGGCTGGACGCCGTGGGTGTGAAAGGGTCAGAACCTGACGGCAGCGGTCGTCCTGCCTGGATCCTCTTCTTCGTAAACCAACAACAAAAAAAAATATTCGGCGACGGTCAATCATTGTTGCTGCCTGTGAGCGCTTGAAACAACAAACAAAATATTAAAAAAAAAAACAGCAAGCAGGGGCAACAAACAGCGGTCGCGCAATGCAAAATAAACAAATAATTAAAAATACACGCGTAAGGTAATAGCAGGTCCGGGACTTGCGTCCCTTTCCACAAAACCCCGTGTTTTTGTGGCGTGCGCGTTCCCGGGGAATCGCGGGTCGACTTGTATTTCATTGGCCTCGTAAAAACAACAAGCAAGAATAAAAAAAAACGTTATTCTTGTAACTAATTAATTTTTATTTTTAATTGTAATATTTGTGGATTTTTTGCGATGTTAGTAAAATTATAGTCGTGCCTGTTTGTTCGCAAAGATATGTCCCATCCCCGACGCAAAAACGCCGTTGTCATCGTTTGTCGTTGTTGTCGTCTCGTCTGCCCTCTCTGAAAGGGGTCTCGAGGTGTTTATTAGACGGATATTACAAAAATAATATTAAAAACAAAAAAAAAAATGCGCGCCTCAAAATTAATTATACAACGCATTTTTCTTTAATATCTAATTCTGTAATTAATGACAGTCACGAGGTAGCCGTTATAATGATGTCGGCGGGGCAGCGTAGCAATTTCAGACGATTTACAGATCTTTGACGTTTTGTTTTCTTTTTCAAATGTTTCGATCTTATTGCTCTGCTCGTCTTTTTTTGCAATTACATTAACGTTAACGTTCAAAGTAATCCTCTTATTAATGTGATTTTTGTATAACTTCTTCAAATTCAATTTAATTTAAAACCTAACTACAAGCACCGAACAGTTTTTCCTAAAATTCGGTCAAAGTCTTTTCGAATATTCTGTTCGTTATTGTAAACTGATTTTTAATATCTAAATCTGTCATATGATAAAATATAAAATGTGTACATCGTTTGTAATCAAGCACGCTGTCCTGAGAAATGGTCATTATCTTCTCTATAATTAACTGATTTTTATGAGAAAGTATTGGTGGTTTTTGACGATTTGTCTTTAATTTAGTAGGAGTAGCTGGTCGTGGTCGTGAAGGAGACACAGGTTTGCTTTTCTTTCGCCGCGAGTACATTGGCATATTATTATTATTTTGTTTATATTTTCTCGAGGAACGGATTTAATGATTAATAACTGGCATATTTCATCTCAATACAAAAAGCAAAATTCGCATCTTTTAATGCATACTACAATTTATAAATATAATAAAACATCTATTACGGTGTGACAAATATCTTCTAGAAATACCAAGACTTCAAGTCTGTTCCTTGTTTTGTTTGTAATTGGAATTTTTTAATATATGTATAATTAAAAGGAAATAGAATTATTAGATTATTTACCTTCCGAAACCTTTTCAGTTTTCTAATTTACTTGAATTCTTTAACTAACACTTTATGCTGCCTTTTCAGTATTGTATAAGTGGTAATTCGGTTAGTTATTATTAACGTTATTCATAACTAAATTTCATTTATTTTTAGTATTGTTTAAATTGTTTATTTTTATTTTTAGGTATATAAAATTCAAATGAAAAAGAAACCGCCATAATTTTTGACTAGATAGGCAACATTCATTACATTGCGGTATTTTGTGAAACTCGACTTTAGTAACGTAATCATAGTTATTGTAACATTTGAAGGCTTGTGATATTTACTGTTTAATTTAGTCGCATGTGTAATTTGTTACGAATCTTAAAAAGAAACCATTTATAATTGTCTAATAATAGTCCTTCGATAAAAATCATACATTTTGTTTTACAGTCGAAATGGTTATCAACAGAACATGTTTAGTTTTATAGGTTAAGATTTGTTATTGTGCACGTGCTTTATTGTTTTTATCAACAGAGTTAGAATTTAAGAGCTTGCCTTTATAATATTAATAACGTTTTGTTAAATGTAACTTGTAAAAGAGTTCATGTTATGTTGTATTAGTGTTTATTGTTAAAATGGACGTGAGAATAAAATTTAGAGGAGGGGGATCCGTAACGGCCTGTGCTCCAGTATTTTCTGAAGGAGAAGAGTAAGTGACTGATAAATATTTTGGTAATTACATCATAACAAAGGGCTTTGCAGGTTTGTGTATATTCCATGGAAGAACATTGTACTTTGCTATTATACAAAAACTGGCAAGCGAGCTCGGGAACTTAGAGGTTTGAAAGATAATGTGGTGGGCTTTAATATTGTTAATTATAAAGATAAGGAATGCTTATTTGCCTGCTCGATTACTGGCGAAATGATCTCTTGGAGCATTGATGATTCTTGTGCAACAATTAAAAGTGTAAGAACATACCTACATTTAATAGTATGAATTAATATATTAATTTATACTTATACTTTTTTATTTCAGAAAATTCCCTTGCAAAATATTCTCATAAGGAAATTTCTCACAACTTCATGGAGTAAAAATGACGAGGAACAAAGACAGGTTCATTTACTGTCATGGACCAAGAACATAACGCAAGATAAGAGTTTGTCTTTGGGACTTTTCGACATGAGTGTTGGGAAATTAAGAGAAGTAAAGATGACATTAGAAGACACTGACCATGATATTGCTACAGGTGGTTCTGATAATCCATTCTTTGCTATTGTACAAGGGCAAACATTGTATTTTGCAAGATTGAAGGACGGAAAACATATTTATAAGTAAGTCAATTTAGCACATAACATTTCTTTCAATTACAAATTCATTTTTGTGGCATTTAGGCGTCGAATTCACGGTAGAAAGTTTACCTGCGTGGCCTGTCATCCTCATGATGAAAGCGTACTTACGGGCGATAATACAGGGCGTATTCTCCTATGGCATAATTTGTCTTCTACGTCACCAACACAAGCTGTTTATCATTGGCATACGTTGCCTGTAAAAACCGTGACATTTTCTCGAACAGGTAGTTATTTTTTCAGTGGCGCCGATGAGTGTGTTCTAGTCAAATGGGCCGTCGAAAATCCCGAACAGAGACAGTATTTGCCCCGTATGTCATTTACTATCGAACGGGTGACGGTGTCAAAGGATAACGTTCTTGTAGCCGTTACCACAAGAGATAATGTTGTTCACATACTGGACTTTCGGTTGGAACGTGTCAGCACAATCCAGCATTTAGTTTTAGGCAGGAATTTTCCTGCGGGAATCCATTACGATCCGAGAACTGGAGCACTGGCCATGAACGGAATCGTTGGACATTTGCAGTTCTTTTCGCCAAATGATATGTCTTTGCTGTATAATGTAAGAGATATTAGTTTTGTATTAGTGTGTATCATACTTGTAATTTTAACTGTTCAGTTAGATATTACCGGTCAAAATAAATTGACGAAGGAGAGAAATGTTGAAATCGAAAACACGGATGTAGTTAAGCTAGCAATAGACCGAAATGGCAAATGGTTGGCTACTGTAGAAAAAAGAGACTCCGCTACTCTCAAATACGAATTGAGACTTAAATTTTGGCAGTTTAACTTGAAAGATCAACAGTAAGTTGATATTTTTTACAACGAGTTTTCCTGCATTATTCTGTTTATAGGTATACATTGAACACTTGTATCGAATATCCCCACGAAAACAGTGTGGAAGACGTCTGTTTTCAACCATCATTGGACGCAAATGAATTGAGGTGCGTCACTGTAGGCGGAGACTCCAAATTTAGGGTTTGGGAAATCGTGAACGCTGACACAGTCTATCGTAAGCTACTCCCCAACAAGACATACATATTCTTTTAAAATGAAATTTATATTTGCAGAAAAGGGTGTTAGATGGTCATGTTTTGTTGCTGGTTTCTATAAGAATCTGCCGTGCAAATGCTTGGACTTTTCATCTGACGGATCTGTTTTCGCGGTATCGTTCGATTTCGCAGTCACGCTGTGGGAAACTCGCACATGCGACTTCAAGTATTCCTTGTCGTGCCCACAGTTGAGAGGTGAAAGAATTACACAAGTGAAATTCGGCTCTGCCAACAGGTGCCAGTTATTGGTGTCTGCAACAGAAGATCATGCGGTTCTGTGGAATCTCCTTACTTTGAACGCCGTTTGGATTGTCAAGGTGCACGTGTCTTTCCTTTTAAGTAGTTGTTTTTCTTCTTACATGGCAATTTTTACCGAAGATTCCAAAGGTACATAAGTGAATTAGTTATTCTCGTTTGTTTTTTAAAACTTGTTACTTTTTCAGTTATTATTTTCGATCCGACTGATCCATCCCCTGTGTATGTAAGTGAAGAATTGAGAATGTGTAACACGAAGGTCCTCACGGCTGTTTTCGCTCCTAAACCGACCATCGTGGATTTAGTCAAAAAGGGCAGTTGGTGTTCAAATGTTCGATTATATTTTATAGATTCATATCAGGTATGTAATTGATCGTTTTTAAATAACTACATTTGCATTAAATTTGTTCTATTTCGTCAGGAATTGTATTGTTTTGATTCAGCTACAGAGGACATATATGGTGAAAATACTGATATAATTGAATCAGAAAGTAAGAGTTTGTTTAGTGCCACGATTCCTAAGTTGAAATCTGGCTGTGTTGGTGTCCAAGAAAAGAAAGAGCACACGATTAAAAGATTTACCGATCTTAAAAAGATGAGAGAGGTTTTTATTTAGCAATGTAATTTTATTTTGTATTTAATCTAAGTACTGTTTTTTGGTAGTTTTTGGATGCCCCTGCTAATACGATGGCGCCCATTCGTCTCAGTTGCGAAACGATTCTCAAACTGTTAGTGGAAAGCCGTACAAACAAACGTAAGGACGGATGTCAAAAGACCCTTTGAAATAGGTCCAAATTTTTCAATAAAATCTTATGTAAGTCGTTTACGTATGGTCCGTTACTTTTTTCCTCATCAAATTCTCCTCATTTTCCTTTTTTACTATTAAAAGTAAAGTAATTATTCATAATTTTAACTAAATCGTATTTTTTATATTTTAATCTATTACTTTTTGTGATAAATAATAAACACTGTATAGCAATTTTAAAACTTAATTAATTTTATAGAAGTGTTCCGTTATCTACTTTATGAATATTAGTTCGGTTATGGCAATTTAGTATGAAATGGGAAATGGTGTATAATTTGAATTATTCTCTGCTATTATTTTATTAAAATTGGTGAATTGCCAAAAGAAAATCGAACTTTAAGTTACTTACTTAAGTCTATTTAGTTTCTTGAACATACCTGAAATATTGCTTCTATGAATTGAATTGGTATTTTGCATTTCTATGGTTTTAAACTGTCACTACTGTCGAATTAACATTAGCACGGTTAATAATACTGATTATTTTATATAAAATTTTTCATGATATTCTTTAGGTGGGGGTTAGTGAGCGGCTGTGAAATCTATAGGAAGCACGTGCATGCGTGAGAGGCCTCAATTATTTTCGGTACTAATTGTTTTTGAATTGAATTTTCGTAAAAGACTGATTTGTGTTGTTTTCGGGTGCTTCTTTTATCATAATACGTTAAGATGGCCTTGGACTCCAATGTTCGAAACGAAAATGTTACGGTTATAAATGAAAAAGTTGCCGATAACAATGAAATTGTAAAGACACGGAAAGAAGATAACGAAACTTCAAAAATCGGTTAGTAATTCACCCTCATTTATTCAGTAATTGTTCAGTTTCTAAAAAGGCACATTTTCTAACATTTTTTATTCGTTACGTAACCTATTTTTTCTTATAGGTTAATTTTGTGTATATATCTTTAATTAAGTAATTTAATGTTGCATATTTCTTTGATGCGTGCGTCTTTTTAAATTAAGCTGCTTATTTTGTAATTGTTTAAAGTAATTGCATTCTCTGACTAATCAAGTTCAAGTATCAAATTAAATATTACCGACGAAAATTAGTTATCTTAGGAAAGCACGGTGAATGGCACGTGATGTGATTTGTACAGGCCTAATTTTTATCAGTTCAGCTCGATTATGAAAAACGTTAATTAATAAATGAATGTATTATTTGCGTTAGTAATCACCGAGGTCAATTTTGAAATTTAAGTTGTTATTTATTTATGAAAAATAAACCGATAAATATGTTGACTATTTCAATTATTTGTTATCACTTTATAAGAATAGTCACAATACTTTTACATTCTATTCAATTATGTTAATGCATGCATTATTGTTTGTATATCTTAAATTAGTAGCTGTATAATGTTTTCCTTGCAGATACTACTTCCCAGCAGAAAAATGAGGAAAAGGAAAAGACAGAAGCAGACAATGGGGAAGAAAAGAAAGAAGAAGTGGTATTTGTGCAAGACTTTGGATTTTCAGTTAGAATAGTCAGCCCTGGGGCAGAACCTTTTGATATACAGGTGTCTAGTATGGAGCTAGTTCAGGAAATCCATCAACTTCTGATGGACAGGGAAGACACATGTCACAGGACTTGTTTCTCCCTTCAATTAGATGGTAACACATTGGACAATTTTGCCGAATTAAAAAACGTCGAAGGCCTGAAGGAGGGCTCTGTAATTAAAGTTGTTGAAGAACCATACACAATGCGTGAAGCCCGAATTCATGTGAGACATATCAGGGATTTGCTTAAGTCTTTGGACACGGCGGATGCATATAACGGCATCGAGTGTAATTCGCTTACTTTTCTCAACACCATAACCCAAGGCGATATATTAGGTGAGAATGTGAAAAATGAACACGATATTAGTTATTGTGTTTGTCTCTTTTTGTTTAGAAAAAAAGAAAACACGACCCGAAAGTGTTGATTGTACTCCTCCCGATTATATAATGCCTAATAATAAAGAACTGCCTCTCAGTGCCCTGCAGCCGCAGCACAAAGATCAAAAGTTACCACAGTGTGTAAAGGTATTTAAATAAATAGAAAGTAATGAAAACTGAACAAATAGCCTAACTTATATATCTCTTATATACAAAGGCGTTGACGACATCAGCGTGGAATCCGCCTCCTGGTTACCGGAAAATTCATGGGGATTTAATGTACTTGTATGTCATCACATTAGAAGACAAACATTTTCACATATCTGCATGTCCACGAGGTTTTTACATCAACCAGTAAGCATTTAAATCAATTTTAATTATTCGAAAGTAATTTTTTAACCTGAAGTACCTTTTTAGATCGACGGAACAAGAATTTAATCCAAAAGCTGCCACTCCCAGTCACTTGTGCCATTCGTTGATCGAACTTCTCAATCAGATTTCGCCCATGTTTAAACGTAATTTCGCCTTTTTACAGAAGAAGCGTAACCAGAGGCATCCATTTGAGAGAGTTGCTACTCCTTACCAGGTGTACACATGGTGTGCTCCCGTCCAAGATCATACCATTGACGCCATCCGTGCTGAAGACAGTCAGTACCTCAGATAAGTATTTTTTAACATAGTCATATTTAACTAACTGATTGTATTTTTTGTGTAGCATTTTCGTCAAAATTGGGCTACGAAGAGCATATTCCTGGTCAGACTCGCGATTGGAACGAGGAGCTTCAGACTACACGCGAGTTGCCTCGGAAGACGCTTCCGGAACGTCTTTTAAGGGAACGGGCCGTGTTCAAGGTTCACAGTGACTTCGTGGCAGCAGCTACTAGAGGTGCAATGGCCGTAATCGACGGCAACGTCATGGCCATCAATCCCGGTGAAGAAGCCAAGATGCAGATGTTTATATGGAACAATATTTTCTTCTCATTAGGCTTCGACGTTAGAGATCATTATAAGGAGCTAGGGGGCGACGCCGCCGCATTTATAGCACCAGTAAGTACTTATAGATGCAGACAACATTCTAAGTAATTATTCGTAACAGTTTAAAATTTTGGTTTGTTAGCGAAACGATCTTCAAGGCGTCCGAGTTTATAGCGCAGTCGATCTTCCTGGCCTTTACACGCTCGGTACGGTGGTCATAGATTACAGGGGATACCGTGTAACGGCGCAGTCGATTATTCCCGGTATCCTAGAACGCGAACAGGAACAATCGGTGGTGTATGGGTCTATCGATTTCGGCAAGACTGTTCTCACCCATCCCAAGTATTTGGAACTGGTGAATGCTTCAATCTTCGTATATCTATGTGGATATAGTAAAATTTTCTTTTACAGCTCAACAAGGCAGGTCAACAACTGAAAATCTTACCGCATCATGTGCTTAACGACAAAGACGAACCGATCCAGTTGTGCTCAAGCGTCGAGTGTAAGGGAATAATAGGAAATGACCAGAGGCACTACATCCTGGACTTACTTAGGACTTTCCCACCAGACGTCAACTTCTTAATTCGTAAGCGTCGTATTTGTTTGAAGTTTACAAAAATTAAGTTATGTGAATTTGCTATTGAAGGACGACCTTTTTGTTTCAGTTGAAGGCGAGGAATTGAGTAAGGAAGTGAAAATGTTTGGGTTTCCAATCGAGCATAAGCACAAACTGTGCTGTCTTCGTCAGGAGCTGATCGACGCCTTTGTGGACGCTCGCTATATGATGTTTATCAAATACGCTGCCTTTCATTTGCAACAGCTCAATCTTCGTAAAAACCGCGAGATTTTGAACAACAACGAAGACATCGAGGAGAAACAGAAGAGAGAAAAAACAGACGAAATCGTTGCGGCGAACAAAGGAAAAAATGTAGATTATGAAAACGAAGATGAAAAAAAAAAGAAGGAGAAAAACGGAAATATGGAGGCCGAGGAAGCCAAGAAAATTGTGGAAAGCATGACAGATGGCAGTAAGTTAGAATGTAAGTAGTTTTATAGTAATAATTTACTGTAAATAAATGAATGCCTAATTTTTAGTAGAAGAAAGCACAAAAAATATTGTTAAAACGGCAGCTATGGCGGTTGGGTCTCTGAAAGACACAGAATTCGATATTCGGTTCAATCCAGACGTCTATTCCCCAGGAATAAAACACTGCGAAGATTTAGATCCACCTCTCTGGAAACAAAGGCAATTAGTGAAAGATGCCGCTGAATTTTTATTAACGGCACAAATTCCAACTTTCGTAAGTGAGATCATTTCTTTTTTATCTTATTTGATCCAGAAAACTTGTAAATTTTCCTTTACTCGGGCTTAATGAATGTAATTGCAGTCTTGTATTTGTTGATATGCTCTTTGTATATTTCCTTAATTAAAAATTGTATATTTTTTAAATGCTTTATAAAAAAAAATAATAATGTGCATCATTCTTTGTTGTAACAGATTAGGGACTGCTTGGATCATTCTTCGGCTCCAATGGACGGTATTACGTTGTCTGAAGCAATGCACGCTCGTGGTATAAATATTCGCTACTTAGGAAAAGTATGTAATCTGTTGTCAAAGATCAAGCAGTTGGAGTACCTACACAATATCGCCGTCGGAGAGATCGTGCTCCGTGCCGTCAAGCACATTTTCACTACGTATCTGCAGGTAATTTACATTTTGTAATTATTTGTCTTGTTTATTTGTAAATGTATGTTACTTCTATATTCTCATTGTATTTAGGGAACCGAAATGATGAATTTGGCCCAAGCAGTTGCTCACTTTTTGAATTGCTTTCTATACTCTGGAACAGTAATGAATCCGCTTCAAGGAGCTGAAGAGGTAATAAATAATGAACAATTAGCAGTAGTATTTTAATTTGATTGTGTTTCGGCGTAGGGCAGAAACACCCGTAAAAGGAAGGGTCGTAGGGGCAGGAATAACCCGTTAATTTGTCAAGACAGCAACGAATGGGCAACGCTACTCCCTAAAACACTTTGGCTTCTAATTAGACAGGAGTTAAAATGTTACTTTGATTATGACTTAATCACCGGCGATATCGATGCAACTGTAGAAACGTTCTCCTTGTCTAAAATATCATTGCTAAGGTCGTTCTGTTTGAAAACGGGTGTGCAACTTCTTCTGCGTGATTTCAACCTTGAATCGAAGAACAAAATGATATTCTACGAAGAGGACGTGCTCAACATATTCCCTGTGGTTAAGCACATCAATCCGAGGGCATCAGACGCCTACAACTTTTACACAACGGGTCAGAATAAGATACAGCAGGGATATTTGAAGGACGGTTATGAGCTGATCAGCGAGGCACTGAATTTGTTAAACAACGTGTATGGTGCTATGCATCCGGAGATTGCCCAGTGTCTTAGGATGCTGGCGAGACTGAATTATATAATGGGAGATCATGCGGAGGCCATGGTATATCAGCAGAAGGCAGTACTAATGAGTGAACGCGTAAACGGAATCGACCATCCTTACACTATTACGGAATATGTAGGTGTAATAATTCGTCAACGGTTCATAGATATTACTATTTTCATGGGATAATTATTATTTAATTTTTACTTTCAGGCACATTTGGCTCTTTACTGCTTCGCCAACAGTCAAATAAGTACCGCTCTTAAGCTCCTGTATCGTGCTAGATACCTTGCCCTTCTCATTTGCGGAGAAAACCACCCCGAGGTCGCATTGCTAGATGTAAGTTTCTTTTATCTATCCGGAAATTACAATTTAATACTTTTTTTTTTGATTTTAGAGCAATATCAGTCTGATATTACACGCTGTAGGGGAGTACGAGCTGGCCCTTCGGTTCTTGGAAAACGCTCTCGCTCTAAATATCAAGTACTACGGTTCCAAATCTCTCAAAGTGGCCGTCACTTACCACCTGGTGGCGAGGACGCAGAGTTGCATGGGCAACTTCAGGGCTGCTCTGAACAATGAAAAGGAGGCGTATGTTATATACAAACAACAGGTAACACAAGCATTCATAAGTCTTTTTCTATATAATTTTTGTAATTATAATTTCAGTTGGGAGACAACCACGAAAAAACGAAGGAGTCGTCGGAATGCTTGAAACATCTTACGCAACAGGCTGTTGTGCTTCAAAAAAAAATGAACGAGATCTACACGGGTAAGAATGGATCGTCATTGCCTCCGATCCAAATTCAACCACCCTCAATGGGATCCGTCTTGGACATGCTCAACGTTATCAACGGCATCCTATTTGTACAAATAAGGTAAGCGCTTAGATGGATAGTTTTTTCATTCTTTTATTCGCCCATTGAGAAATTATCGCAGTATCCTCATAGACAAAAAAAATAAATGTTTTTTTCTTTTTTTTTTTATTGCACTCCAATCGTAGCCAAGAGGACATAGAAAATTTCAAAGCGGAACTCGAGAAACAGAGTCTGATCGATGGTAAAGAGTTGTTAGTAGATAATGAGGTGGACAACGATAGTAAATCAAATGGCGCTACTGAAACGGTCGTAGACGGGAACCAGAACTAATAATGTTGGGTTTATTTTCTTTTTCATTATCAGTAATTACTTTCATTATCATCATTAAGCGAATAGAAAATTTGGGAGAGAAAGCGTCACGTGTAAGAGGAACGCATTTAATAGTGAGACAGAGGCTACTCTACTATTTGCATGTCGTCTTTTAGTAGTGGTTTTTAATTAAACGTAGAGTAATAAAAACGATACGCTAGCCAGGACACAAAACTAGAATAAACAAACAAAAATGCAAAGTGCATACATTTTAGTGGTGTTGTTTTCCAAATTAACCAATGAAAATAAAAATAGAATGTTCAATTAGACTTATACCAAAAATATTAAATGCAACTTATTCGCAATAAACTAAAGTAAATAATTAAATTAAAANAGTATTGTATAAGTGGTAATTCGGTTAGTTATTATTAACGTTATTCATAACTAAATTTCATTTATTTTTAGTATTGTTTAAATTGTTTATTTTTATTTTTAGGTATATAAAATTCAAATGAAAAAGAAACCGCCATAATTTTTGACTAGATAGGCAACATTCATTACATTGCGGTATTTTGTGAAACTCGACTTTAGTAACGTAATCATAGTTATTGTAACATTTGAAGGCTTGTGATATTTACTGTTTAATTTAGTCGCATGTGTAATTTGTTACGAATCTTAAAAAGAAATCATTTATAATTGTCTAATAATAGTCCTTCGATAAAAATCATACATTTTGTTTTACAGTCGAAATGGTTATCAACAGAACATGTTTAGTTTTATAGGTTAAGATTTGTTATTGTGCACGTGCTTTATTGTTTTTATCAACAGAGTTAGAATTTAAGAGCTTGCCTTTATAATATTAATAACGTTTTGTTAAATGTAACTTGTAAAAGAGTTCATGTTATGTTGTATTAGTGTTTATTGTTAAAATGGACGTGAGAATAAAATTTAGAGGAGGGGGATCCGTAACGGCCTGTGCTCCAGTATTTTCTGAAGGAGAAGAGTAAGTGACTGATAAATATTTTGGTAATTACATCATAACAAAGGGCTTTGCAGGTTTGTGTATATTCCATGGAAGAACATTGTACTTTGCTATTATACAAAAACTGGCAAGCGAGCTCGGGAACTTAGAGGTTTGAAAGATAATGTGGTGGGCTTTAATATTGTTAATTATAAAGATAAGGAATGCTTATTTGCCTGCTCGATTACTGGCGAAATGATCTCTTGGAGCATTGATGATTCTTGTGCAACAATTAAAAGTGTAAGAACATACCTACATTTAATAGTATGAATTAATATATTAATTTATACTTATACTTTTTTATTTCAGAAAATTCCCTTGCAAAATATTCTCATAAGGAAATTTCTCACAACTTCATGGAGTAAAAATGACGAGGAACAAAGACAGGTTCATTTACTGTCATGGACCAAGAACATAACGCAAGATAAGAGTTTGTCTTTGGGACTTTTCGACATGAGTGTTGGGAAATTAAGAGAAGTAAAGATGACATTAGAAGACACTGACCATGATATTGCTACAGGTGGTTCTGATAATCCATTCTTTGCTATTGTACAAGGGCAAACATTGTATTTTGCAAGATTGAAGGACGGAAAACATATTTATAAGTAAGTCAATTTAGCACATAACATTTCTTTCAATTACAAATTCATTTTTGTGGCATTTAGGCGTCGAATTCACGGTAGAAAGTTTACCTGCGTGGCCTGTCATCCTCATGATGAAAGCGTACTTACGGGCGATAATACAGGGCGTATTCTCCTATGGCATAATTTGTCTTCTACGTCACCAACACAAGCTGTTTATCATTGGCATACGTTGCCTGTAAAAACCGTGACATTTTCTCGAACAGGTAGTTATTTTTTCAGTGGCGCCGATGAGTGTGTTCTAGTCAAATGGGCCGTCGAAAATCCCGAACAGAGACAATATTTGCCCCGTATGTCATTTACTATCGAACGGGTGACGGTGTCAAAGGATAACGTTCTTGTAGCCGTTACCACAAGAGATAATGTTGTTCACATACTGGACTTTCGGTTGGAACGTGTCAGCACAATCCAGCATTTAGTTTTAGGCAGGAATTTTCCTGCGGGAATCCATTACGATCCGAGAACTGGAGCACTGGCCATGAACGGAATCGTTGGACATTTGCAGTTCTATTCGCCAAATGATATGTCTTTGCTGTATAATGTAAGAGATATTAGTTTTGTATTAGTGTGTATCATACTTGTAATTTTAACTTTTCAGTTAGATATTACCGGTCAAAATAAATTGACGAAGGAGAGAAATGTTGAAATCGAAAACACGGATGTAGTTAAGCTAGCAATAGACCGAAATGGCAAATGGTTGGCTACTGTAGAAAAAAGAGACTCCGCTACTCTCAAATACGAATTGAGACTTAAATTTTGGCAGTTTAACTTGAAAGATCAACAGTAAGTTGATATTTTTTACAACGAGTTTTCCTGCATTATTCTGTTTATAGGTATACATTGAACACTTGTATCGAATATCCCCACGAAAACAGTGTGGAAGACGTCTGTTTTCAACCATCATTGGACGCAAATGAATTGAGGTGCGTCACTGTAGGCGGAGACTCCAAATTTAGGGTTTGGGAAATCGTGAACGCTGACACAGTCTATCGTAAGCTACTCCCCAACAAGACATACATATTCTTTTAAAATGAAATTTATATTTGCAGAAAAGGGTGTTAGATGGTCATGTTTTGCTGCTGGTTTCTATAAGAATCTGCCGTGCAAATGCTTGGACTTTTCATCTGACGGATCTGTTTTCGCGGTATCGTTCGATTTCGCAGTCACGCTGTGGGAAACTCGCACATGCGACTTCAAGTATTCCTTGTCGTGCCCACAGTTGAGAGGTGAAAGAATTACACAAGTGAAATTCGGCTCTGCCAACAGGTGCCAGTTATTGGTGTCTGCAACAGAAGATCATGCGGTTCTGTGGAATCTCCTTACTTTGAACGCCGTTTGGATTGTCAAGGTGCACGTGTCTTTCCTTTTAAGTAGTTGTTTTTCTTCTTACATGGCAATTTTTACCGAAGATTCCAAAGGTACATAAGTGAATTAGTTATTCTCGTTTGTTTTTTAAAACTTGTTACTTTTTCAGTTATTATTTTCGATCCGAATGATCCATCCCCTGTGTATGTAAGTGAAGAATTGAGAATGTGTAACACGAAGGTCCTCACGGCTGTTTTCGCTCCTAAACCGACCATCGTGGATTTAGTCAAAAAGGGCAGTTGGTGTTCAAATGTTCGATTATATTTTATAGATTCATATCAGGTATGTAATTGATCGTTTTTAAATAACTACATTTGCATTAAATTTGTTCTATTTCGTCAGGAATTGTATTGTTTTGATTCAGCTACAGAGGACATATATGGTGAAAATACTGATATAATTGAATCAGAAAGTAAGAGTTTGTTTAGTGCCACGATTCCTAAGTTGAAATCTGGCTGTGTTGGTGTCCAAGAAAAGAAAGAGCACACGATTAAAAGATTTACCGATCTTAAAAAGATGAGAGAGGTTTTTATTTAGCAATGTAATTTTATTTTGTATTTAATCTAAGTACTGTTTTTTGGTAGTTTTTGGATGCCCCTGCTAATACGATGGCGCCCATTCGTCTCAGTTGCGAAACGATTCTCAAACTGTTAGTGGAAAGCCGTACAAACAAACGTAAGGACGGATGTCAAAAGACCCTTTGAAATAGGTCCAAATTTTTCAATAAAATCTTATGTAAGTCGTTTACGTATGGTCCGTTACTTTTTTCCTCATCAAATTCTCCTCATTTTCCTTTTTTACTATTAAAAGTAAAGTAACTATTCATAATTTTAACTAAATCGTATTTTTTATATTTTAATCTATTACTTTTTGTGATAAATAATAAACACTGTATAGCAATTTTAAAACTTAATTAATTTTATAGAAGTGTTCCGTTATCTACTTTATGAATATTAGTTCGGTTAT